GTAAATGCACCTAAGGACAATATATTATATACAACCATACATCCAACATGAAATTTTTTATTTTTTATTTTCTTCAGATTAATTACATGCATGGTTTTCGTTATTTTGCGGCTCCATTTCAACATCCACTGTAACTCAACTCAATCTTGTGCGTGTTGACCTTTTTTGCACTGTTCGTACCTGAACCTTCTATAAACCTGAAATACATGTTTTCTAATAAATATATTTTTTTCGCACATAAATTGCTTATAGTATAAAAAATAATGACAACTATCTAGAATCCACTCAATTGGTGGTTGACTTTTGAGACCAACGCGGAAACACTGAAGAAAATAGTAGGTTTGACCAACTAATTAATACGTCTGAAAAAAGAAAATATTTCGTTCCCTAATCCAATTTTTCCTATTTAAGTAGCTAATAACAAGTTGGTTTGTATCTTTTTAAGAGGCACAGCTCATGTTATTTTCTCCTTTCCCCACCGTCTCCTTTTGACACTCAACACTGCGTACCCATTTCAGACTTCATAATTTTTCTGCATAAAACTGCAGTTAAAATAGTTCAAACTAGGAGTTGGGCGAGTGTAGTTTACAGAAGATATATAAATACAGAGATATTCGTTCTGGTTCAATTTTCAAGCTGCAGAATGCAGCAAGTGACTGGACCTGAACACAACATGCATGGGAATAATAAGAATCTCAATTTGATGTGGGAAAAAAAAAAAAAAATATACTTAATTTCATTCAGATTGGAAACATGATTCTCAACATAAATAAAAACTAAGAAGATATAAATTGTTCGTAGTGTAGTTCCCTTCAGCCCACCACCAGACAAATACTGATTTCAGTTATAATAATCTGTAACAATGAACCCACAAAATAAAAACCCAATTTCCAAAGAAGCATTATTCACACAAGTTTTCCAAGCAACACACAACACAAACCAAACAAACCTCTGTTTCACAACAAACAAAGAAACACACTAGATTCTTCATTCTGCAGAAATATCCCGCATGGAACTAATATCCACCCTTGGTGGACCCGAGTGCCTTCGGTGGGGCCCACCACCAGGCGACCCAGAAAACGAGAGCCGCTTCTTAGCGGACCCAATTGGGCTAGCCAATCGGGCCCTGGCCCGAGCTGACTCGGTCGACGCCATGTAACCTTGAACAACGGCAGGCGAGCTGGCGAGGCTCTCGTCGTCCCTCACGGACGAGCCGCCAGCTATGCTGTGGCGGCGCCTCCGGCAAATCTCTGACTGGACACTGTTGATGCTGTTTGACTCATCCTCTCTGCCACTCTGAGATGGGCCTATTGGGCTTGCGGGCCTTAGCTTGGAGGAGGTGGGCCTTGTGGACTTGGGGGTTGAAGGTGAGTTCCTGCTCGGCGGGCGGCTGTTTTGCTTCGGGAGTGGAGTTTTTCCGGAAGGTGATTTGGTGGTGGTGCTTTTTATGGAAAAGCGGTCGCTGTTTGGTTCTTTTGTGGTGGGCCCGTTTTCGAATGGGCGAGCAGCCATCCACCGTTCTAACCAGCTCCAGCCCCAGTGGGGATTATTTGGGTCCATGAACGTAGTTTGGTTCGTGGAAGTAGGCTCGTTTCTCCATGTTTGCTGGGCCAACAAATATTTTATAGCCAATGTAAAAATTACACCCTTTCTTAAGGTGTTATTAGTATTTACTACTAAAACCCCTCTAGGATGAGGTTAACTTAAATATCCCTAATCATGAGGATGCAATTGCAAACTATAAAACAAATATCCTCCTTATATATAATTTCTGGATGTGCTGAGCCTAAGTGGCAGGCTCGCACGCTTTGGAATCCTATTTGGCAAATTTTTAAGCTTTGTTGTTTGGTTTGGATGAATTTTAATTTATTTTCAATCCTAAATTAACTAGGTTTGGAATATCCATAAATTAACTAGACATGATTTATAAGGTACATTCTTTTCCCAATCTTTTTTTTTCCTCAATTTTCTTTTAAAATTATAACAAATTTACTAACTTAAATAATAAATATATTTAAAAGTTAATAAAATTTGTATTTATTAACAATTTTTTATATATAATATATCAAATTAATCATGACCTTCGATTTGACACCTATATTATATATACAAAATAAATAAATAATTTTATTTATCTTCATAATTAAAATTAAAGTACCTATTAATATTAATTCAAAAAAAAAAAGTATTTAAACTACTTAACTACAAAGTGGTTATGTGATATAAATTTTAAAAAAATATTATAATATAGGATGGTGTCCTTTTAAATATAAATAATAACATATATTTTCAAAAGTATTTAAAACTAAAACAATTTTGTTGTTATTATTGTTTAATTTTAAATATAATTTTCTTAACAAGTACCCGTGTAGTACACGGGTATTGTAGGGTATTGTACTAGTTAGTGTTATTTATTTATTTATTCCGGATTTAGATTCAATCTAAGGTAACCAACACTCTTAAGAATGAAAGCATAAATGTAAGATGAACTTTTCCAGGATAAATTATTATTGTTTGTGGTTATTTACGTACGATAGCACTATTAAAACAGCAACAGAAATCGACAATCATAGTACCTGATGTGTATATGCATAAGCCAAAGCACGTTCCCTTCTCATAGCAGCTTCTTGCTTATGCTGAAGACTTGCTTCAATCTGCTCTTTAGACTGTACGCTATCATCCCAATCCTCTTCTACCTATGATTGTCATATATAACCTGTTCTTCAGCCCAAAAGCTACTCAAGAAAGTAATATTAAGATCTTACCATTCTTATGAAAACTGATCTGTCGAACTTGTCTACTTACATCGAATTTCAACAAGCTTGGTCGCCAACGTTACAAGTAAAACAAATCAACAAATAAATATTATAATCAAGAGAAGAATATATATGAACAGCATAACCTGTTCTATCATTTCTATATTCAAATCAACGAATGGAGCAAGCACACACACAAAAAAAAAAGGGAACATAATAATTTTCCAGCAGAAAGTATTTTACTATTTTTCGTGCGGAAGCATAAGATTAAACTGCAGGCAATACTACTTACGGATCCTCTAGACTTCCCAAGCTCCTTCTCACGTTTCTGCTGGATTTGCCGGGTAATGGCCGAGTTGCGTTCAGACATTCTTAGTCTCCTAGCTCGAATCTCGGTTTGAACATGAGCCAATGTCTGCATATATTTTAAGGTGGAGGCGGCTTGGCGTTTGACCGATTGACCCCCGACCAATGATTTTAGCCTCACTAGACCTCTCAAAGCCCTCAATGCTCTCCTTGCCTGGAATGACATCATCAACAGGTTAAACTAAAACTTTATAGTCATTTTCTTGGCTTGTTCTGATAAATTAATTAAGACACTATCACAAGTGCTCGTCCTATTTTCATCACAAATTAAATTTTGAATGCTAAAACTATTAGATATATAATTTAGTAGATGCAGAAGGATAAGGACTGCTTACTAGTTAAAGTTTATCGCAAACTT